AGGAGGAGGAGGAGGAGGAGGAGGAGGAGGAGGAGGAGGAGGAGGCTCACTAAGGTCACCCGGTTAGCATATGGCAGCACTGAGCCCCAATCTAGCAACCCGGACACAGGCCTAGCACTCTGTCACTCCCTGGCTGTGTCACTTGGACAGACCCCTGCCCTGAGCTTCTGTCTCCTGCTCTGAAAGAGACGCGGGGCACCACAGCACCCTCCCTCCCCACCGCCCAGGGCTGTGAGACTACAATGGGCAGCAGGGGACTGTTTAATAAATCATGATGCCACAAAGCTCGGGCAACGGCTTCGGCCGAGCAGCGCTTCATTTTTAATGAGGTCAAGCTTACAATGGCGGGACCCAGAAGGCTCCCCTGCCCTTCCGCTCTGTAACTCGCTCCCCGGATCTCCCAGCATCTGCTGTGCTGTTTATTTTACTTATTGTTGTTCTTGCCTGTCACCCCCACTAAGCATCAGCTTCCTGGGGGGCAGGAAGCTTTTTATTTTGGTCACTGCTGCCATCCGGCCTAGGACACAGCAGGTGCCCGGTACGAACTGGCTGCCATGAATAGGAGAAAGACACACGGTAGTGAGAACAGAAGGCAGGTTAGGCACGCTCACTAACAGGACAAAGAGGCCCGCAAACTGTGTCACTGGTTGTAAGCACACGGGAAAGTATTAAAAAATTCAAAGACCAGGACACCCGGCATGAGGAACACGATATAAAAAATCGATGGGATAAATGGCTTGATTTTGTCCACAAATAAATGGCATTAAAAGAAAAAATAATAGAGGATTGGGGATATAGCTCAGTGCAAGGTCCTGAGTTTCACTCCTGGTACCCGGTAAAGAGAAAAGGGCCAGGCATGGTGACACATGCCTGTAACCCTAGCACTTGGGAGGCTGAAGCAGGAGGACTGCTGTGAGTTCAGGCCAGCCTCTGATACGCAATGAGTCCAAGGCCTGACATACACAGCAAGACCCTGTCTCAAAAAAAAAAAAAAGATAAGAAGAAAAAGACTCTTAGTGATTAAAAGAGATTTGAAGCTGGGTGTAGTGGAGCATACCCAGAATCTCAGGACGAGGAAGCTGAGGCAGGAAGATTCCAAATTGGAGCCCAGTCTGGGTAAAAAGCCAAAGAGAAAGAAAGGAGAGGGGAGAGACAGAGAGAGAGAGACAGAGAGAGACAGAGACAGAGACAGACAGAGACAGAGAGACAGAGAGAGATTTTTGAGACATTTAAACATATATGTGCTTTGTTTGCATCTAGATTCAAATAAATCAACCATAAAAAGAGATTTCAGAAACAATTAGGAAAATACTATGTACTACCATGTTAGAGAACTGTTAATAATTTCATAAGGTATGTCAGCAGAATTTTTGATATGTTAATATTTTTATTTTTTTAGAATTCTTTTTTTTTTTTTTTTTTTTTTTTTGCGGAACCAGGGATTGAACTCAGGCCCTTGCACTTGCCAGGAAACACTTATTCCACTGAGCCGTCTCCCCAGCCCCTATTTTTTCAGAATTCTAATTAACTTTTTATCTTTTTGAGACAGGGCCTCACTCTGCAGTTCAAGCTGGCCTTGAGCAGCTCACTTTGTCTATGTTAACGTTTTTAAAAAGAAGCGTCATTTACTGGAGAAACACGGTGAGGTGTGAATAAAAACACCAACTATCAGCTGGGTGTGGCGGTGTATGCCCGTAATCCCAGCACTTGGGAGGCTGAGGCAGGAGGATCCTTGTCAAGTTCGAGACTACCCTGGGCTTCAAAGTGAGCTCAAGGCCAGTCTGAGCTACATAAAGAGACCCTGTCTCAAAAAGAGCCCCCCACCCCACCCTCACATAAAAAAAAAACACTATCTGGAATTTTGCTTTTTTAAAAACCTCAGTATAGAAGGGAATGTAGGTGTAGAATTAATAAGACAAAGATGACGGGTAAAACAAGACCCACTACTGGGAACTGTGGGAACTGTGGCGGGCACAGGACACTCATGAATCAACTCTCCTTTACATCTGCTTGAGGATCTGTGTGTGGTGCTGGGACTGAACCTCAGAAGTCTACCACCAGTTTCAACCTGAGGACTTCTGAGTTGGGTTCTGACGCAGGGTCTTGCTAACTTGCCCAGCCTGACCTAGCATTTGCAACCCTCTTGCCTCAGCCTCCTTAAATATAATCAAAACATTTCATTCTGTAGTATCCATCGACATTGTCCCCAGCACACAGAAGGGAAACTGAGGTACTGAGAAGTGGGGCCCGGGGTTTTTAGCTCAGGGGTAGGGTCCACGCCTGGTACACAGCGGTACCTCCATTCAGTAACTTCATTCTTTCCACGATTCTGGTTTCCTGTACACGAGGCTCTGGTTTTAATCCTGAGCACCAGGGGCCAAGCCAAGATGACTGAATTGAAATGGGAACAGAAATTGGACCCTTTGGGACCGAAAAAGGGAGAAAACTGCAAGGGAGGTGGAAGGAGAGGGGAGAGGCAGGACTGACCGTGATGGCAGGAACAGCTGGGCCTGGCGAGCCCTCCGTGGTCCTTTTCTGCCCTTCCTGTGGGTTGAGAATAAAGGAATTAATAAGGCTGCCCACCTGTAAGAAATGGGAAGAGATAGACTGGATTCCTAATTCCAAAGAAGGAAGACTGGGCCTGGGACTCCTGGGGCTGGTGGCGGTGTGGGTCTGGGGTCTGGAATCCCTAGTTTTCTTTTATTTTTGGGGGTAGAACCGAGGATTGAACTCAGACCCTTGCGCTTGCCAGGGAAGCACTTATTCCACTGTGCCATCTCCCCGGCTCCTGGAATCCCTAGTTTTCAAAAGGAGGGGCTGGGCAGACCCTTTCTCCCTAGGGTGGGAGGTCCAGGGTCTCACCCTGGCCTTGCGCAGCCGCTCCCTTTCGGCCACAGCCTGCTGCAGGAGCTGCTCCATGTGGGCGATGTCTGGGTTCAGGACCTGGCAGCTGAGAGGAGGGAACAGGGGTCACCTCAGCCAGCCTGGCCTCCTCCTCTTCCAGCCCCACCTGCTCTCCCGCTGCCTCACCCATTGCCAGGGCCACAGTTTAGCAGCTGATAGAGGGGGTGTCTTCCAGAGGCCCCCACTGCTGATGCAAGAGCCGAGGCCTCAAGGGCTCCTAGGGAAGAGGGGACAAGGTGAGGAGAGGGGACCCCAGGCTTTGAGTCATTTTTTCCATCCTCTGCGGCAGGGCAGAGGGAGCAGGAGAGAGGTGGAGGGTGGGAGGAGTCCTCACCAGTACAGTGGAGAGACAAAGGCCGCGCCGATCCCCTCTGGCTCGCCCTCTCGCCCCGTTTCCTGGATAGACTTCCGGTCCTCTGAAGCCCGATGGAGCCCTGAAAACACACAGGACCCACTCAGGGGATGTTCCCGCTCGGTGGAAAGACAGAGACTGCCAAGTACAGCCACCACCTCCTGGGCACAGACCCAAAGCCTTCCTGTCAGCGTGGCGCGGAGTGGAAGAAGCCAGCTACAAGCACGTGGTCTGTGACACCATTTATGCTGTCCCGAGTGGGCAGATCGCATGGCTCTCGAGACAGGAAGCAGAGTAGTGGCTGCCAGCGGCTGAGAGAGATGGGGAGGAGGGGCGCCGGCTAAGGGATGCAGAAGTACTCTGGGGCCAGGAACAGCGCTCTTTCATCGATTGTGATGATGGTTTGCACAACTCTGAATGTACTAAAATACAAGAACTGGGCGGGGGGAGGGGTGCAGCTCAATGATACAGCGCTTGTGTAGCATGTGTGACGCCCTGGGTTCCATCCCAAGCACCAGACAGACAGACAGACAGACAGCACTCTCGATGAATTGACTGTATGATACATGAACTACATTTCAATAGGACTATTTTCTACATAAATGCTCTTAGGCATTGCTGGGGTTATTTTGCTGGAGGTGGCCAGCTGGAGGCCACCTGGGCTCTTCTGTGTCTCCTTTCCTCCTCCTTTTTTTCCCTTCTTTCCTAACTTCCTTCCTTCCTTTCTTGCAGTGTGGGGATTAAACCTAGGACCTCACACATGCTGGACAAATGCTCTACCACTGCACACATCTTCAGAGAACAATCTTTTTTTTCTTGTCTTTTTGAGACAGGGTCTCACAATAAGTTCAGGCTGTCCTTGCACTCACGTTGTAGCCCACTCTGGCCTCAAACTTGCAGCGATCCTCCTGTCTCAGCTTCCTGAGTTCTGAGATTACAACGCTGAACCACTACACCCAGCTCAGGATTTTTTTTTTTTTTTTTTTTTTTTTTTTTTTTTTAACAGCTGGAGGATCGGGGAGATAGCTCAGTAGAATAAGCACTTGCTTGGCAAGCACAAGGTCCTGAGTTCAATCCCTGGTACCGAAAATAAATAAATAAATAACAGCTAGATCCTGGCATGATGGTGCATGTTTGTAATCTGAGGAATATGGGAAGCTGAGGCACGAGGACCCAAAGTTTGAGCCTTGGCTGGATGATTTAGTGACTTAGTGAGACCCTGTCTCAAAATAAAAATTAAGAATAGAGGGATTTGTTCTAATGGTGTTTGTAAATAGGATATCATGTCTGCATCTTGTACAGCAATTAACCACTAGGAAGAATGTATGTAATGTGTTAATTATTGAAACTGTCCT